TAGTAGCGTCCTTGCTCCTAGTACTACGGCCAGGAGCCCCTAGTAGCTTCTTGTTCCTAGTAGTAAGGCCAGGAGCCCCTAGTAGCTTCTTGTTCCTAGTAGTAAGGATGCTCCTATTATATATATATATATTTGTTTTCAATGTCAGATAGTGTTGTTTTGGTTTATTCTATAACTATGGTTATTACTGTACTATAATAATAACTATTATGTATTTTCTATTTTGGGGGTGGTGCTATTGCTGTAGGTAGTAAACATGCACTGGACCCAGGATAGCTCACGCTTCTTCAAGGAAGCTCCCCCCGCCGCCCTAAAGGCAATGGGGGGAGCTTGCTTGAAGAAGCACTCACACTAATCATTTGGTTCCTAGATTCTTAGGAAAGCTAATAGCGATGGCCTCCAACCTACTAGCGATGACCTCACTACATTTTTCAGGATGCAGTGGAGTGGACATTGAAGCAGACGACGCAGATCGCCAAGGATGACAAACATTTGAGGGTATTCCATGTATTCCATGTATTTCATGTATTCCATGACAAATCCGAGCGAATCCAATGTATTGGATCCGACGATGATTCGGCGATGCTTCGCAGGACTCTGCTGAGGTGACTCGGGTGCAAGAACTGATTCAGCAAAGTAGTTCGGTCACCTAGTAGCGATGGCCTCCAACCTATTAGCGATGGTCTCCAAGTTGGTTCCAGTAGCTTCTTGTTCCTAGTAGCGTCCTTGCTCCTAGTAGCGATGCCCTTTGCTCCTAGTAGCTTCTTGTTCGGTCTTTTCGTTCTGAGGCTTTGGATTCGTCTTTGGCCCAGAAGCTTCGGGCTCCCAAACCTGTCCAAAGCTTCAAAGCAGTTGCAGTACTGCCTGAAGTGGAGGCGAGACAGCACAACGCGGTGTGCGAACACAGTGTTCAGCAGCAAAGCGAGTAAAGATAGCACTGCCGTTTCGGTGTTGTAACTTGTGTCAACACTAGGAGCAAGGACGCTACTAGTAGCTCCTGGCATTGCTAGTAACAAATCTACTAGCAACAAAGGGCATTGCTATGAACGGAGCAAGGACAGGAGCACTTTAAGCCGACCACCGAATGTTGACAGGCAGCGGCCGCAGCAGCTGGGCGGGCTTTGCGGGATTTGGCCATTCGCGATGTCGAGCAAGGTTCACCATGGTTCACGGTTCGTGTTCGAAGAACACACGTTGCCATGCGTTACTAGTAGCGATGCACTTGTTCCTAGTAGCTTCTTGTTACTACTAGTAAGGCACTTGTTACTAGTAGCGATGCACTTGTTACTAGTTCGTTGCCATGCGTTCGGACTTGCACAGGTTTGCTGCATCAGCTTTTGGAGTCGCCTTCTCAAAACTTTGCTCGGCAACGGAGTTGAAAGACTTGAAAGAGAATTTCAATCTTCAGACTTAGCTGTACTACTAGGAGCAAGAAGCTACTAGTGGCTCCTGGCCTTACTACTAGGAGCGATCGGACGCTACTAGGGGCTCCTGGCCTTACTACTTGGAGCGATCGGACGCTACTAGGAACAAAGGGCATCGCTACTAGTAGCTTCTTAGAGCAGCGTGTGACGAAAACACATGGGTCCTGCAGGGTTTGGCGGCGTTTCAGAAGCGAATGCACTGCTTTTTCGCGCAACAGTGGGTCGAGGGTGACCGAAGTGTCTTTCAGTCAGTACGGGTTTGGGATAGTCCACCGCTATTAGGTCGGAGGCCATTTCTATTAGGTTCGGGACGGGATTTGCATCAGATCTTGGCAAATGAAAAGTATAGAAAAGCGGAGTCTCTACAAGAGAGAGAGAGAGAGAGCCAAAAAGTTGAGAACTTTAAGAGCAGAATGTTTAGAGAAATGCGCAATTCGACCACTTTCTTGCAGTTATGTTGATACGTCCTGAACATATCAACAGTCTTCTCTATTCCGATCAAAGCACCAAAACCCGTCCGAGAGAGATGCCACAACTATGTGTCAACTCATGACACCTTGTCAATGATTGGTATGTGAGAAACCTTGTGGTAGAACGAACGCAAACAGAGACACAACAACACATCTGATCATTACAAAAAAGGGTTGTCTGGGGACGCAACTCAATTACATGGAGCAAATCACACAGACAGTCACACAGCACACTTCAGGCCGGATGAAGTCGTTGCCATGGGCATGAGTAGACGTTTTAGGTTCTAGGGTGAATGACTGTCGATGCCAGGAATCCGCAGCAATGCCAATTGGGATGTTGTGCTTCGCAGACTGCAGAGATCTTACCTTCCCTCGCCCCCCAGAAAGCATCACACAATGATGTCGGCCACAAGGTCTGCTGAGGACTCCAACCATGCACCAGTTGTGCTGCACAATACTGGCGCACCTTGCTCAAGGTCACTTGCAAAGGCAAGATAAAGTGAAACATCCGAAGTCCTGAGTTTGTGTGCCACAGAAGCTACGAACGGAACAAAGGGCATCGCGACGAACGAAGCGATCGGACGCTACGAACGGAGCGCTCCTGGCCGTACTACTAGGAACAAGAGGACGCTACGAACGGAACAGTGACCTTGGCGACCTTCGTAGACGGTTCTTCTCGCAGACAGTTCGCACCACCGCACCCGCCACGTTTCGGCCGTGTGGTATCGCCCGTGTGAACCCCGAAACGTGAAGGATTAGATCGAAACGTGCACGTGATACCGCAGATCACTTCGCCACGTTTCGAAACGTGCACGTTAAGCCGTGTCCTGTGACTGTGGGGGGGGAAATCAACGCCGGAGATAAATGCTTCCTGCAATTTTTATGCCGCATGTTTGTTCCAGGTGCATCATGAATGACATGATCTTAGGCTTTGCGTTCTATTTTTGAGGTTGGGCTTTGCTCCTGGCCCAGCTAGAGAAGCTGCACGCCGCAGCTCCTCTGTAGAAAGTGCTGTGGCGTGGTTAGCGGAGACAACGTGATTTTAAAAACATCTTCTGCAAAGCAGAATGAAAGATGGACAGGCTGGTGCGAAGCCAGCAATGGTTGCGGCGTCTTTTTGACGTCCTTTCTGCGGCACGATGTGCCTGTGGCTTCTGGAAAACACGGTTTCCCGTTTTCTGTACATAGTGAAAGCGAAGCACAAAATACGAAGAGCGCAAGCAACGCGAGGAATGGGAAGTAAAGCAAAGCAAAATGGAAGTAAAGTCTGTAAAGCTTGGTTGTGACTCATTCTAACTTTGAGTTCAAGCTGGGGCCACCTTGCGGGCTGATTGTGAGGTGGGACGATTAGCTGAATTTGCTCCTTAGTTCTTGAATCATGGACGCTACTAGGGGCTCCTGGCCTTACTACTAGGAGCAAGGACGCTACTAGGAGCAAAGGGCATCGCTACTAGGAGCAAGGACGCTACTAGGAGCTTTTTCAGAAGTAAATGGAAGAATCATGGAGTTGTGATAATTGGAGACACACGATGTCCTTAAATCGTTTGCTGCTTGGTCGCGATGTCAAACGACTTGTCTCCCTTCAACTGGTCGTTTTCACAAGTGCCCTTTGTTACTAGTAGCGATGCCCTTGTTACTAGTAGAATCTTGTTTCTAGTAGTAATGCTAGGAGCTACTAGTAACGTCCTTGCTCCTAGTAGCGATGCCCTTTGTTACTAGTAGCCTCTCGTTCCCGTTTCATTCTCCTCACCTTTGTGTGCTCACCTTCGTCAGGGAGATGCCGGAGGCAGAGGAGAAGCCCAAGCGGGAGCCACGAGAGGACTTGACCGAACGAGCGTTTCTCGAAGCGGCGGTGGAGCAAAGCTGCAAGCGAAGCTAAGTCAAAGTCACACTCCAATAGCGATGCAGTTGGTACAAGTAGCTTCTTGTTCCTAGAAGCAAGGCCAGGAGCGCTCCTAGTAGCGTCCTTTGCTCCTAGTAGCGATGCCCTTTGTTCCTAGTAGCGTCCTTGCCGAATGACTGAGGAGATCACGCGCCATGGCATGATTATATGCGACAAGCGGCCGCCAGGGACACACAAGGAGGCACCCAAGCGGGCTTTGCACAAAGCAGACAAAGCAGTCAAAAACTGTTTCAATAAAAAACTCTGCAAAGGACAACACAATCACAATAAGTCAAATCTGTTTTGAGGCGCAGAAGAAGATGGACTTTTTTGAGCAAGTCGTGGGCTCCGACAAGAAGAAATGAGAACAGGAATCTTCCAGATCAACAGTGACCGGCCATACAAGGAAAGAAGAGATTTCATCATTTGCAGAGTGCTTCCAACACTTGCATGATGTTAAGCTTCCATGACTTTGAATTTTGCTGATACAGCGAGGATATTGATTTTATGTGGTTATATAAGTTGAACCACATCTAGTAGATTGGAGGCCATCGCTACTAGGGGGAGGCCAATCTAGGAACCAAATGAATAATGCGAGAGGGCCCCTTCGCGGTGGGGGGGGGTGTCCTGAAGTCCGATCCCGACCTCTCTTCTTCACCTATCCTAGCCTATCCTAGCCTATCCGTTCGCCTCCCCTTCCCAAGAGATCTTCTTCGGAGTTGAGAAAAAGCTGTGTGTGAAACATGTCGGATCGATTCCGGATCGATCATGATCTACTCCGCAGCTGTCGGTTCACTGGGCAGCTGTGGAGAAGCTCGGGCGCTATGCCAATAGCTCAAGCTCTTTAAATGTCACATGAAAGATACACATAAAACAACGAAGGTTGCAGAGTACACAACCTAAGCACATCCAAGTCTGATTGTTCACGTACTGCTGGACGATATGCTCTTGATGTTCATTCCGGTGTTTTGTTTCCCAAGACCACTTGTTTTGAGGCGGTTGCTTGTCTTCGCAGTGTGATGGGCTCAGTAAAGTTGTACTTCAGAGAGAAAGGAGGGAAGGAAAGAGATGACAGCCCAGAAAGAAAGCAAACTCATATAGTTTTTTCTACTTGGCACATGATGAGAAAAGAAGTACGATGACGATGAGTCCAATTTGTTTTCTTGCCTTTCGTATGTATCATGTTGAACCCCTGAGAGACGAGGCTGCCGCTGTGTCATGCCTTTGTTGCTCCAAGAGGAGGGCTGAACTCATCCAGTCAAAACTGACCTGATATATAATATAAGAAGGTCTTGTTTAAAGAAAACAACACGAGAAAAGGACAACTAGTAGCGATGGCCTCCACCTTAGTAGCGATGGCCTCCACCCTAGTAGCGATGGCCTCCAACCTAGCAGTGATGGCCTCCAAACAAGCGAACTGAGAAAGAAAAACGAGATGGTATGCCGGCAGACGAAAGGGTCTCAGTTGTGACGCGGAAATCGGACTCAGATTTGATGCGGGGTTTCTCGGATATGACACGGTTGCTCGGTTCTGACGCAGCGTATCTCTCCACGACGTTCTCTCCATCTAAACCCTAAACCCGGAGGCCATTGCTAGTAGTAACAAGTGCATCGCTTCTAGTAACAAGTGCCTTACTAGTAGTAACAAGAAGCTAGTAGTAACAAGTGCCACGCTAGGTTGGAGGCCATCGCTAGTAGGAGCAAAGGGCATCGCTACTAGGGGGAGCGGGCTTGCCATGCTTGTGCCTTCTTTGCGCGAGGTGTCCAGACCACTCGAGCGACTCATCACGCTTGCGAGGCGAAGTCATCTCTGCTTTTTGAAGTGTTGCGAGTGGCGGGATCAGATGAACGCCGAAGGGTTTACTTCCTTTTCAAGGGTATTGAGTGGGAAGGTTTGCAGGGGGAGGCCTGGGCAGATAGGAAGCAAACACATAGCTTGTGGCTACTAGCAGGGACGGAGAAGAAGCCGTACCTTGAAACAGTTCTTAGTTATTTGTCAGGTATATTGAGTGCATTGCTTAGGTGCTCCTTACAAATTGAAGACTGCTATATTGCGAATATCGTTGGTCGACCCTGCGGCCTAATTGCAATTGCCTTGGCAAAAGATAATCCAAGAGGGGAGAGCATTAGTTCTCTCCTGTCATTGGTGAGGTGGTGTCAGCTGAAGTAACAGCAGTTGTATTCAGCCTAGAAGAGATGGCCTCCAACCTACTAGTGATGGCCTCCAACCCAAGAGCCACGGCCTCCAACCTACTAGCGATGGCCTCCAACCAAATAGCGATGGCCTCCCACCTAATATCGATGGCCTCCAACCTACTAGCGATGGCCTCCAACCTAATAGGGATGGC